AAGTCCCTGGGGAAATTCTTGGAAGGGTTCACTCTAACGCTGGACACATTGACCTTTCCACTCTGCTTGCCCTCTCCTCCTGACCCTGGCCTGCTGGCTGGGAGCAGCCCCCTGGCTGGGTGCTGGCAAGCAGAATTTTGTGGGCTCCTGCAGTTCGGTGTCAGCGTATCATCGAGCTCTGTGCTAACCAAACTCCAACTTGATTTCTTGAGCAGGCTCAGAGGATGCCAAGAGGAAAAAAACAAAACAGTGCAGGACAGACTTGGCCTTGCTAGCAGCAAGTGCATCTCACAGCATGGCCTCTGTCCTCCCCTCCAAACACTGCCCTGCCAGCACAGCCGTCGACTGGCAAATTTGGGATGGTGACATCTTTTCTACTGCTGGTGGCACAGGAGATCTGGCAAAGTCAAGGTTCCTCTGCCCGTCACAAGGCTTTCCTCCCCTCCCCGTCCCACAAAACCCAGGCACAGGGAGTAAAAGTAAGAATGAACACTGCACCCAGGTCCATATCTACAACAAAAACCCAACAACCCCAAAACCAAGAAAAAAAAACCCACACAGGCAAGACAAATCCTGCTTTTACAGAGCAGGAGGCTGGGAACCACCCATATAATTGTCCTCATAGGCAAGAAATTCAGATGTGTCAGGAGAAACCTACCTGCTAGATAGGCTGCCCTCACCCTGTCTCACCCCAGCTGCCCCTCACTGCCAGGAATGGGGGTGGCCCTGTCCCTCCTGCTCCCTGACGGCACCTGGGCTGTGTGTCGGGGGTGGCGAAGGCAGGGAGTAGGCATCCCTCCGACCTCCTGCTCTACCTCCACGGGCCACCCTGGCATAGGGGAACACACACATCGCCCCCCAGCGCCTCCCCGAGCAGCTGCTGCCCCTCACGGCGTTGCACGGGGTCGGCAGTGTGGGCCATCCCTCGGGGTCTGCTGCCAGCCCCCTGCGGGGTGAGCATGTTCCACACCACCCTGAGCTTCACTGATAACCCGCTGCTGTCGCCCACTGCAGATCCAGCTGGCTGAGCCCTCCCAGACCCGTGTGTGTCCCACCACCATCCCCAATGGATCAGCAACACCACGCCTGTGCCTGACAGCGCCAGGGCACGGGGCTGATCCCTGGGAAGATCACGGGGCTGCTCACTGTGCAGAGTCCACTTGTGTTTACACTCTGTGACAGTCTCTGCTTACATAGCACCTTGCTCCAGCAAGAGATTTACAGGCACACAGCCTCTCCCACCACTGATATGCACCGGGGCCTGCTGGTGGAAACTGGGGTGCGGAGAGGGGGGCAGGTGCCAAGGATGCCAATGGCTCCTGAGCCTGCAGGGGAGCAGCACTTGCCTCTGAAAAACAGAGGGGAGGAAGGTTTCCATGGCCTCCTGATGGCTGCACATTGCCTGGTGCAGGGCTGGGAGAAAAAAGGGTGAGCCTGGCCATAGAGGAGCATGTGCCATGGTGCCCAGTCTGCACCTCCTGCCCCTTCTCCACGAACCCCTGCCCTCTTGACTGCCTGGGGAGGGAGGGAGGCAGCATGATGTGCCCCAGATGATCCCTCTTGTGGGAAGGATCCCTAAGGGATATCAAGGCAGCTGGGGGTTCAGGACAACCTGTGCTTGGCTCTGACCCACTCCAGATGTCCCCCTGCAGTAGCTGGGTCTGCAAGCATGAGGGGTGGTGCAGAGCCTCTCCTTGGCCTCCATTTCCGCACCTCGTGGCTCTGCTGAGGAGATAGCAGAAGTCTGGAGAGTTCATTTAGCAACTGAAGTCATTAAGGAATCACACTCAGTTGTCTCCAAGCCCTAACGAAGCCAATTCCCAACATTAATGATTGTTCTTCCTTACACTGTCAGCCACTAAATATAGCTGCCCATCCACTCAGCACACAGCGCTGATGTTATCTGCTCTGTTTTTACTGGCTCTGCTGCTCTCTGGAAGTTTTCTTTTATATCAGTGGAAAAGTTCTCTGCTCAGGGAGATGGAAAAAAAAAAAAATCCATCTTCTTAACCTAATAATTTTTCCACTCCCCTTTGCCTTCCGCCACACACACACACACACACATTTACTCTCTAGGACTCTCCTCAATAAAGAAATACCTCCTGCTGTTGCTGTCAAGTTTGTGGGTGCTGTATTTATGCATGGCTTGGGACATCGGTCAGTGGAATCCCAGTTTAATCCCTACAAGGTGGACAATTTCACGTGGATGTGCTGCTGTGCTCACACCTCCAACCTGGCCAGGTACAGCTCTCTCCTCAACAGGGAAGACTCTACAGGGACCAGTTTTAGAGCTGTGTAGCAGAAAATCAAAACCCAAAAGAAGCAAAAGCAAAAGTCATCTGGGGAAAAAATGGAGAATACTATTTCCAGAGAGTGTTCTAGAGGGCTGCCTGCCTTGCTCTGCCACTGCCGTGCCACAGCTTGTATTCCTCTCCAAAATCACTGACATTAACCGCTGTGGACAAGCAACACAGCTGGACTTTTCATAGATGGCACAGATGAAAGCGAGTATTCCACTCATCTAATCTGAATGCCACAAAACCAGTGTCAGCCTCAACTCCTTAATTTCTACCTGTCATTTGTCCAGGAAGATATCCCTGTCTTGATTTCAGGTGTGGGAGAATCCACCAGCCCCAAAGGTAAATCTCCCTGTGGTTTGGTTCCATGCTCTTTGGGCATATCTCTCTTATTTTCAGCCTGGCATTTATCTATCTCCTTGCTTCTAGCCACTTGTTATACCTTTTCTTTATGGGTGAGATGCATCAACTCTCAAACGCAGCAGTTTAAGCACACTTCACTGGTCTTGTAAGATCCCGACCCACTAGCTGAAAGATATTCCACCCACACAATTCTCTTCTTATTAATTGCCTGGTGATCCTGGAGCCTGTAAGGTGCATATTTTCAGCTTTGCTACAAGCCAGGAGAGGAAGGATTTGCTATTATTTTTAATGGCATCCAACTTTTTAAATTCATCATGTAATTGCAGGAGCAGGGGCTACAGAACATATCAATACTTCCTGCACAGTCTTTACTCTTGAGTTCCCTTTTTTTCTCCAGCCAGGGACTTCTTCCCTTCCTTGCCCTCTCCTTCTGTTGGACATCTCTGTCTTCCTCTCATTTTAACTGCTATCTTGCTTTCTCCAATCTTTATCTTCACCTCTTCATGCTTTCCCTTTGCATTTTGCTCCTTCCCAGGTCACTCCATCCTTCTGCCCCATCTCTTCTTGCCTGTCAGCCAGGGAAACCTTTCAACCTTGTACTACAATTGCTCCCCGGTTGTGAGCAGTGCTAGGATGCCCTCCGTGGGCAGGAGTCCACTGACACAAGCTGGTGAGCTCCTGTGCGAAGGGGAGGTGTGCCTGCAACAGCATCTCCCTGGGGTGTTCAGGGACCTCACTGTGCTGGGCACAGCAAACACTGTCCCTACCCAGCCAGTGTGCCCTGGGAAATACGACAGCAAAATGGAGGCACGCGGGCAGCAGGGCATAGGGTGAAGAGCAAAAGAAACAACATGACTTTGGGATAGACTCAATGTGAGAACCCAGAACGAAGTTCAAACTGAATATGTCACGCCTGTTACAAGCCCCAAAAGACAAGGATGCTGTTTGCAAAATAGGTGCCAGATCAGGACTGGGAGAACTTGAAGAGATGGTGTAAGTGAGGAAGTGTAATGAGGCTTTAACTGCCAGCTGAGAATATTGCAGCAGCTTTTCAGTAACACCACAAGCCTGAGTAGCAGATAAATTAGCAGCCTACAAACAAGCAAGCCCGAATTCTTAGTTGTTACACTATGAGTATGACTGTACAATACAATGTTATGCCTCGTGCATGTCCCTCCTGTGGTAACACTCCACAGCCTGCCTCACACTCCAGGGATGGAATCACACCCATGACTTCAGTCTTGGTGTCTACTTTTACCACCACAGCTCCCACCACACATACCTACCAGAGACAGCTTTGCCCCGCACAGAAAATGCAGCAGCTGCTAGGATAGAGCCCAGTCATGTCTTACAGCCCACCAACAGAGCAGGGGATGGGAAGAGTACAGACATCATGTCCAAATGAAAGCAAAAGACGCATTGACTGAACTGGCAAAACAACTTTCAAAGTTAAGGGGAGCCCCAAGTTTGCTTTTCATCACAACACAAGCCCCAGACACATTCCTGAAGAGGCAGGCAGGAAAACAAAACCCAAAATCAAAACAGGGGAAAAAACCCCTTTTAAACAGACTAAACAGATCTTCCCTGCAAAAGCAGATAGCTTTTCTCACCCTAGAGCAAGACAAACAGCATCCCCACTGACTGCTCAAAGAGCGAGGCAGTTTTTCTGAGTTCCTCACCTTTATTCTTACTCTGTTGGTTTGATCAGAGAAATGCCAGCTTCTATCCTTTAGGCTAGTATTAAGCTATTAAATGCACCATTTCACCTTGTTTTCCTTTTATTGACTGTCACCTTCAGAGCTCCTCATAGCAGTCTGCTCTCCCATTTCTACCTCCCAACCCCCTTCCCCTTCCAAGCAGACCAGCCCCACCCTCCTTTGCCAGCAACTAGAACACCACCACTACCAGAGTGTCTATAAAGTAGAGAACAACCTTCCTCCACACTAATATGTCATTGCCACCTCATTTCACCTTTAATTGGCTACTGTTTTTTCGTTTTGGTCAGTTGCTAACTACCCTTTACTCCTCAGCCTTCCCATGTCAGGCTCAGCTTCTCTTCAGGAAGCCAGGTACCTCCTGACAGCAGGTTTCCTAATGCTATTCAGCCCCAAGACAGTGGGACTTGTCTGTTTGCCTGCTCCCTGTCACCTAGCAGGAGTCAGAGGGTGCCACCTCCTGCTGCTGCAGAGCGGGAGGTTTAGCACAGGCTTGCCATTTCACTGCTCAGAAGATTGTCTCTTTGTACAAGCACACACATTGCTTTCCTTCAATGTAAAAGCCCATGCCAGCAGAAAGAAAACACCAAGAGAAGTGCAGTTTTACCTGGAAAGCAGTTCTCACCTGAGAAAGCTGTGATGGGTTCTGCAAAGGGAAAAAGAAAAAACCCTAGTATTAGAGAGGGGAATATTAGACTCAAGGCCGCAGTTCATGTCTTTGCTGATTTGCAGTGGCCAAGTGGAGCAGGCATGTGGCTGTGCCCCACAGAAGCCACACACTGGAAACAGCATAGGGTGCTGGCCAAGCTCACCAGGACAGGGAGAAACCCTGCCTCTGCTGAGGAGTGACCAGATGCAATAGGCTTCAACTCAGACACAGACTTCAGAGAAAAATATGTCGAAAGATGAGGGTCATTTGGATTCAGCTGGCTGGCCTGAGTCATCCAAAGACAAGGTCCCACCTAGCCCAGTGATGGAACCCTGAAACCTCCTAAATTTCCAAGAGCAGCTTTGTTTCTGTCTCAACTCTGGCATCATTATTCACATGGGAACTGTGTTACTTCTGGGCATCAATGCCATGCTCCTCTCCGTCTCACAGTGCCAAGAGGCAAAGGCAAGTGATTTTTTTTCTTCTTTCAAGATACTTTGAAGTAATCTGTTACAAATTACTGGATCTGAAAAGCAATAATCAGTACTTATTACTGATTACTTTCTCACAGAAGCAATAGACTTCTGATTATTTTTAGATTACTTCTGCATTATGCCTGTGAGTCACAGAAGCAGACTCTGGCTCTACTGAGTGCTATGAAATCATAACTCAAGTTCAGAATGCGAATGACACATCTGTCAAAGGAAAAAATTATTGTGATTATTAGCGTTCTTTCACACTAAAAAGGAATCGGATTACTTCCCAGGACTACATTTAAAAAAAAACCCCAGTAGCCTGTGCTGGAGTCAGCTATTTTCGTGGTCCTGACAGGGAGAGCAGCACTGTATCTCTACTGTTTCATTATTATTTTGGTGACATCGGAAATGACCCATGAGTTATGCCGAAGTTTGGAGTGGGAGCCCTTTGTTAAAAATTATCTGAAACAAACTATCCTTATCGGTTTTAAGATTCCCATTCAGCTTCCTAGAATGGGACAAATAATTTTCTGTAGCAGTTTGGTGTTATTTTTAGGGCTGGCAACCCTTGAAACTTTATAATTTATTAATGCTTTTGTTTTGAAATATTAAGCTTTAGGTTTGTGAGGCCCAAGTTACAGTAACACTGGAGCTAGGTGAATTGCTGAGCTCAAAAGAAGTCAGATAGGAAATGCTATTAGTGTTAATCATCAGCCTTGCTTCTTTTTAATACCATAGAAGGCAAGGGATTAAAACACCACTGTCAAGCTTTAAATACAGGGAATTTGACATACCGAGTATTAGCTCCTTTGGCAGATAGGAGACCAGCAGAGTTCAAAGCATCAAAGAAACTGGGACCTATGGTGCTCAAGAGCATTTCTGGGGCAGTCCCAGTACTCTGTTCTATTATTAATGTTGGTTCCAGCACCATCTTCACCATTGCCTGCCTGCACAGGGCTGCAAGCTACATGACCAGCCCTTCTCAGGCACAATTTGTCCTGTGCCTCCTCCCCTGAGATACACCCCTTGGAAGACAGCAAAGCAACCACCCTGCTTGGCTTAGAAGGCACCAAGATCCTCCCCCTCCCTTGGTGGGGGAGAGGAGAGCAGCTTCACTGAACAGGGCCTTTCAAAGCCCAAAGGGGAGAGAGGCTTTGCTCTACCTGGCTTTCTCCACTGACACCAGGATGGGTTGGACACTTTGCAGATGTTTAACAGTGAAATGTGCCTCCCCCAGGTCATGCAGAAGAGCAGGGCCTCACTACTGTGGGCAGCTCTCAGCACAGATCCCACTAACTGGACACTGCTGACACATCCTCAACTGGGATGGCTCTAAATCCACATCCAAGCTAGATGGTGACCAGAGCCATCAGAGTGCATGCATGGTTATGCCAGCTAGAGAAAAAGGGCAGGGCAACAGCTCCACCAGCAAACTGCTAAAACACACCTTTTTCTCTCTCTTTTTTTAAAGTCTTTGTCTTTCACATTGAATGAATCCACCTGGCTTTTGGCCTGGTTTGGGGAATGGTGAATTCTAGGACAAAAATTTCTTTTGTTGTTCTGTTAACATTGCTGTAAAACCCCTCTGCTATTTTATTTCTTATTAGAGAAGACTCCTTTTGAACTCATCGGCCCCTCTAAGCGCGTAATACTGACTGGCAGCTGGTTTCTTTTGTCTAGCACTTTCCTTTTAAATTTGGTGTATGTCCTTATCACATAGAATAGTCCTCAGTAACCCTCAGCTGCTCTTTCAGCTTTGCGTGGCAGAAACATGTGCTTCCTGCCTCTCACACCAACACGGTCAGAGCCCCCATTCCTCAGAGTCTGAGTCCCCCTGAGTCATTTCTTTCGTGGGCAAGGAAAATCCCAGCTGAGATCCAGAAACTCCCAGTAACTCAAGCAGGGGAGAAGTGGCCCACTGGCAGCCTGCAAGTGAAGGCTCTCCAGCCCCAGCTGTCCCCACCGCCATCCCCGACCCCGCGGCCGGACACAGCACGTACCCATGCAGTTCTCCAGTGGGATGTCGGTGCCTAGCCGGATGTCATCGAGGGCGAGTTCTCCCGAGTGGCCATTGCGTATAAATCCCTCAAACACGATCTGTGAGAAATTGGGACAGAAATGTCAATGCGAAGCTG